TGCCTCTTGCCCTAGTGGCACTAGGCTATTTAACTGACTGACTAGCAGCTCAGTCAGTCCTATTTTAAGTGTGGTAGCTCCTTCGGTTCCGACTCATATTAATAGTATCATTGATTTTTTCTTAGCGGATAATCGCCTCCTTTCCTGCCTTAGTGACCCACGAGTCATTGACGGCATATCTGACCACCAAGCAGTAAGGCTTGTGCTTCACGACTGCAGAGCTGCTCGTGCCTGCCCTCGCACTTTTTTTAACTTTCCTAGCACCAACTGGTCGGAGTTCAACCTCGCTCTCGACCACCTCCTTCTTAATTTGAGCATTCCCGAATACAGGAACATGACTCCTGTGGAGATTGATTTTGCTGCCCGTACTCTTGAAAGCATTTTCACCTCCACAATTGAGGACCATGTTCCGAAGGTGCGTGTTCGCAAATTTTATCAAGTTCCTCTTGATGCTTCTACCCTTCTCCTCATTAACCTGAGGAAATCGCTTCGCCGCAGAACTTATCGCCTTAGACAGGTAGCTTCACCGCAAGCTCATGCGTTCCAAGCCATTCTTAAGAACCTGGACACCATAATTGCCCAGAGAGTCAACCAATCCAGGTTTAATTCCATTAGTGCCAGACTTCGTGCCACTCAGTGCCGGTCTGACGTCTTTAGTACGGTCAGGCAAATCTGTGGATCCAATAGGTCCATCTCAGACCTCCGCTATGGCAACTCCATGGTGTATGACGACCTTGATAAAGACAACGTCTTTGGTGAAGTCTTTATGACTAATCACCGTCTTACGGCTGGCCTAGGCGAGCGCCACCTTACGTTAACTACGAATTCTGCAGTTCATGGGCTTTTCGATGCTTTCAATGAAAGCATAGTCACTTTCTCCCCGCAGTTCCCCGCTCACTGCATCAATGTTAAAGACACCCGTGGGTTTCTCACCCCTTCCAAACTCATCGACATGCTTCGGCTCAAAACACCTAAAAAGTCATCTGGCACTGACTGCGTGTCTTTCTACGCCATGAGACATTTCTCACCACTCTTTTTTAAAAAGTGCGCCATGCTCTTCAACCATGCGTACAACACTGGTTCCTTCCCCCAGCCATGGAGGAAGGCCATAGTTTGTCCCGTTGCCAAAATTGGCAAACCCAAAGCTGACCCCTTCAGATATCGTCCTATTTCTCTTCTCAACTCTGTCAGTAAGCTCTATGAAACCTTCATAGCCAGCAAGCTGAAATCCTTCTCTTCTGGGAATAATATTATTCCCCCTTTTCAGCTCGGCTTTAGGAGCCAAATCTCCACCATCCATGCCCTGCATCATCTCCAAAATGAGATATGCGTAGGCTTTTTTAATAAGCAGCCCACTGTGGCACTAAGTCTTGACATTGAAAAAGCCTTTGATACTGTCTGGTTTGAAGGCTTAATCCTTAAGCTTCACCAGTTCAGCTTCTCTCCTACGCTCTGCAGTGTTGTCCACAAATTTCTTTCTAACAGAACCTTTCAGGTTCGAGTCGGTTCCTCTCTTTCACGTGATTTCCCCATCGATGCTGGCGTCCCTCAGGGCTCGGTTCTTGGACCCCTCCTTTTCAACATGTTTATAGCAGATATTCCACTCCCGCGGACCCCTATTAAGCAAATCTGCTTCGCAGACGACTGCCTTGTCTTCATGCGCTCGTCTAATCCTTTCCGCGTCTCCGATGAGCTTAATGCCCATCTTAAATCTCTTTTTGACTACTATACCAGGTGGAAGATTAAACTCAATCCTTCCAAGATCTCTGCCATTGCCTTTACTGGCCGCGTGATCGTCCCAGAGGTTTTAGCACCTCTAATATTAAGCTCAGGCGTAATAACTCTCCAATTCAGCTTGTTCCCAAGCTGAAATATTTTGGCATTGTTTTCTCTTCCAAACATAACTTCATACCACATATTGACTATGCCATCCGTAACGCCCGGTTCAGACATACTCAACTTAAAACTGCACTTCGAAGACATAACCAGCTTAACTGCAAACTTAAGCTGCTCTGCTATAAGCAGCTTATTCGTCCTCTCCTCACTTACGCTTTCCCTATTTGGTCAGCCATCACTTCCGCTCAGATGGAAAGAATCCGCCTGTTTGAGCGGAAACTTCTTCGCGTTTGCACTAATTATAAGCGCAAGCCTAATGGCAAACACTTTTCCATATCAACTCTCTATAACAATGCCAAGATCACTCGTGTTGACGAGTATCTTCTGTCACTCGCCCGTAGGTATCTCACCCGGCTCCATGACCTTCCCCCCGATGTTTCCATTCCTTCCACTCTCTCAGAAGACTTTGTTCTAGCTTTGCGCTACAAACCCCCCCAATACCTGACTTACTACTTTGACGAAGTGGACCGTAACCTCTTCACTATCCCCTTATATAACCGCGGCTTTCGTGACCCGTCACAAAGTATATTGCTGATTCCATCCCCGCTAGTTAGCCGTAACCCTCCCCCTTCTATATCATCCATCCTACCTAGTTTATGCCCTTGCTTTCTGACTTAGATGAATCTAGTTCACTAGGTATTAAGTCTATTTTCTCATTCCTCTTTCCCATAATTACTGGAATGAAGTTTCCACATTGTTGTGGAAATCTTCTTCATTCATTCCTAAGAGGTGGTTTTAGTGGGTTCAAGTCTCACACTGTGGCTTTCGATGCTTTCCACCTACTGCAAACAAAAAAAAAAAAAAAAAAAAAAAAAAAAAAAAAAAAAATTTTACTAAAAATTATATGATTATTCGATTATATAAAAGTATGTACTAATGACATAATAAATATATTTATATGTATAAAAACAAAATAAAAAAATGTCTAAAACCTATGAATTATAGGCTATTTTTTTGAAACATCGTTGAGTTATCTGTTTTTTTTTAATTAATTGATTTGATTTGTAATCTTTAAAAGTCCTTTTGTCTTTGCCTCTCGTTGTGTCAGTATTATCGTTTACTTCGTTCATCTCAATAAAAAAATAGATCATACATAAAAATCCTTATCTATATTCGTGTCCCCAATACACAATAGCAACTGGTTTAGTTAATGGAAACCATATCTGAATGTATATCTGAGGTACATATCATATTAAGAAACGCAAAAAAATCTGCTTCAAGAGGGTATTCAAAAACTACAGTATCCAGAAAATTGAAAAGATTAGAATATCTTTCAAATAAAGTTAAAACAGTTTACACAACTTTCAAGTTTGAAACAATAACTTCATTAGCGGAAACATTTTTCGACAAGTATAACCTGACCAAACAATATCTGTTAAATATGTCTTCAAGTGAAAACATAGTTAGCCAGGAAAATAACAGTAGTAATACAAGTACCATGGAAAAATTAAATTACGAGACTGTGGAAAAACTCGTATCCACTTTTACCGGTAAAGTTGAAGAGTTAAACAATTTCATATATAGATTGAATATAATTCATGTCAATCTACGTACCTCTGACAAACAGGCATTTTCAGATTTCATAGTAGAATGCAAATTACAACATTCAGTGAGAGCTAAAGCCAACCCCGTAGGAATTCCATATTCACTTCCTTAACTAATAGAGAATCTAAAAAAGAACTTTATATCAAAGGACACCATACCTCAACTGCTGCAACAGCTAACAGAAGTAAAACAAGCACCTCACCAGAAAATACACGAATATACAAAAAAATACCGACCATTCTAGCGAATTTAAACAATGCGACGATACTATAGAATAACTCCAAAAAGTCATTTCCGGAAGGAAAGGCTGTACTTCTTGTAAATGATGAAACAGCATTATTAACATTTAAAAAGGGATTAAATGCTCTTTATTCACAAACTGTACAGGCAGCTTAACCAAAAACCTTTACAGAAGCTAGATTGTTTGCAGAAAATATGCATATACCAATGCAACAACAAGTTTTTCACCCAACAACGTTTTCAAAGTCAAAGAAGATACGACAACTATAGAATAAACCAGAATAGATTCCAATATAACCAGAGAATTAACAACAATTCTCAAAATAGAAGCAATAATGAGAGAAACTTCGATAGAAACAGAAACAACTCGTACTCTATCAATATTCCAAACGTTGAGAATAGAAATAGAACAAGATACAACAATACAATTCAAGAAGTCAATTCAACTCAAACCAAAACAGGTATGTACGGATACTAAATGCCCAGGAAAACTACTCAGAACCAGAGGACAACCTAGGGAATTCTCCTCTGGTACATCATTAAAAATTTTCAATACAAACCCTGTAATGAACCTTTCAGGCCGGGGTTTTGCTCGCCGGATTCCAGGTCCAGTCCTACAATAAATTTATTTGATAGGAGCAGTGGAAAGTTTGCTATGGTAGGACGTATGACGTAGATAGAGGTTTTATTATTCGAATCTAGGTTCCTCTATTTCTATTGCTACTAACGAAATGTTGATTTCGTTATCAATAAGTAATAGAAATGTATATTTCTATTCTACGGGATTGCTAGCGAAATGTTGCTTTACAAACAAGTAAATAATAGAAATGTATATTTCTTTTCTATGGGGCTACTACAGAAATGTTGTTTTATAAACAAGTAAATAATAGAAATGTATATTTCTATTCTACGGGCCACTAGCGAAACGTTCTCTTATCAACCATTAACTAATAGAAATGCATATTTCTATCCTTCGGGCTACTAGCGAAATGTTGTCTTTTAACAATGATGTTCACTCACAAACTATAAGTTCCTTACCACTGGTGGGGGGAACAATTATAAGAATGTGGAGATATTGTTTGTAATTCAATAACTGACTTTATTTACCAATAAATTGGTCTTTTATACAAATCAAAATGCAATAATAATTGCAAGATATACAATATTTGCTTAAACTAATTTAGTATTTAATTCGCACAGATTGCTTACTAAGCAACCTATGCGTGCGCTTAACTTATGACCTAATTAATATTATTTTGTTGATTCGTCAACAAAAAAATTAAGCAACAGGTGTGAGCAATTAACTCATGACCTAGTTGTTAGTTTTTTGTTGATTCATCAACATTAAGCCGTCTCTGAGTTGGTATTACAAACTGGTTTAGAATTGATAACCTCAGAAGGTTGTTGATTATGTGTTGATGACTGGTGTTGCTAATATAGTTTCTAATGTGAGATATGCCAAATATAGCAAGAACTGTCGATTTTGATTGCCTAGCTGATAACCATTGTCGTCGCGTTCTAGGATCTCCTACAGTAGAATTTGTCGGAACTACTTCTTTATTTCTGACAATGTTTCCCAATGGTAACATATCTTGAGTGTCTGAATCTGCCTTGGTTGATGCCGTCTCTGAGTTGGTTTCTGTAAAGTTAATAAGACTATCATGCGCTGGAGTCATCATAATACTGTTCAGTGATTGTCCTGATGTCGGTTTTGCGGACGCGTCAAACATCACTCGAAGGTTTGTAGTCGTGCTGTCTTCTTTAATAACTGCATGATGCGGCAAATAATATACCCTTCTCTTTGGTTTTTCATTAACTTCTTTCATGTGACCCAGCTTAATGTCTTCTTGCATAAAGTTCACATACTCTTGCTTTAGTGCTGGATTCTTCTCAAGTTGTTCTTCAAGTGAAAAGAACGGTTTCAATGCCATTTTTCTGGACTCGCCTAACGTTTCTCGATCATTTTTTAGCGGTAACCTAACGATATAAAGTCCTGTTTTATCGCAAGTTGAATCATAATGTCTCTCACAACGCCTTTCTTCTACTGTTCTTAAGTCTGCATTTGGAATTTCCTCTAAGTCCCAAAACCGTTTTAAATACTCGTCGCTGTTGCCGCAAGCCATGGTGCATAACGTTATATTGTTTGTGATTGTACGCTCTACATCTAAAGGTCCTGATAATATCCATCCAAATAGTGTGTTTTGAGCCATTGGAGAGTTGTCTGACCCTTTAATTAATCCTTCTTTAAACACTTCTGGTAACACGTCCGACCCGATTAACAATTGTATTTCCTTTGGTTCAGCATACCAAGGATCTGCTAACTGCAATCCATCGATATGAGACCATTTTCCTGGCATGAATTCTGCATTTGGCATTTTTGAGGTGATTTTTGGTAACACTATTGCTTCGATATGACAGCTCTTATTCTGATCGTGTATGGATTGAATTTCTAATGAGCATTTGGCTACAACGCTTGTTGTTTGCCCATTGATACCTTTTACCTGAGTTTGATGATTGGTCAATGGTGCTCTGATTGATCTTGTTAATTGTTCTGTTATTATACAAGATTGTGATCCTTGATCAAGAAGCGCTCGTATCGGATTAAGTTCTTCTTTAGTCTTTATAATTACCATTGCTATTACTAGTAAAACAGTTTTTTCCTTTTGGATGTTGTACGATGCTGCCACTTCGGTGTCCGTAGTGTTCTTCAGTGTTGGCATCCTCTTATTTATGTTATTTGTAAATTTTGGTTTGCCTTTAACTTGTTCATGTATAAGATGATGGTGTTTTTTGTCGCAAATTGTACATCTTTCTTTATTCAAGCACAACTTACTAAAATGCCCACTCTGAAGGCAATTAAAACATAATTTGGCGTTCATAATCTTTTCACGACGTTCCGGTACCTTTATATTTAGAAACTTTGAACATCTAATTAATTGATGGTTACCATTACACATCAAACATAGTGTATGTATTGTAAATATATGCGTTTTAGTATTTACAGCTGCTGGTCGAAAATTACTCTTATTTTTGCGATTTGTATCACGAGTTGCCTCCAGTCCTCTAACTCTACACTCAATAAACTCGTATAAGCTGTTCAATTTTGGTATTTGTGTTGATGCTCCTCTTGAATGTTGGTATAAATTTCTGGTTTCACCATCTAATTTTGGAAGTAGTATCTGAATTATTAGTGGATCCCAACTTGACGTGTCCACATTTAAATTACGTATACCATATAACACTTCTCTAGAAGCATCCATTAATTTTTTTAAATCCTGTACATTTTCATTTCTTATTACTATGAGCGACAATAACTTATTAATAAGATTGTCCACAAGTATTGCTGGATTGTTGTATCTTTGTTTTAGCAGTTCAACTGCCGCTGTATAATTGTTTGCTGTTATTGTTAAATGATTGATGAGCGTCGCGGCTTCTCCCCGAAGACTTCCTTTTAAGCACTGCATTCTTTCTACATCCACTAGATTATGGTTTTGTTAAACTAATCTGTCGAACAGTTCCCAAAATGGACACCACTCTTCAAATCTGCCGTTGAATATTGGTACATTCAACGGTGGTAGTTTGATATTGTTACTTACAGGTGTTCTTGTGTCTGAAACGTTTTGCCTACAAACGTTCAGTTCTTCTTGTAACTGAATATATACTCCTTCGTATATCGATTCCAGTTGAATGAAATCTACCTGGTCTATTGCATCATTGCTGAACAGGCATTCATCGTGTAATTGTGAGATCTTTGCCCAACAATTCTTTAGTTTTTCAAACTTAAACTGTAACGTTTCAATACTTTTTGTTAAGTCTATTGTCTCTTTGATCTGCAACAGACTTGTACTTAAGATTGCTAAACGTTTGTTCGTAATATCACATGGCTCGGTAATGGTGACTTCTTAATTGATACTTGTGTCTTGATTCCTTGATGACCGAGCTTCCTCTTGCTCTCTTTGCCTTAGTATTTTCAATTCATTATTAATTCGATTCTCGATTTCATTCCGTCTTTGTTGTAACTGACCAAAGTAATTTTTTGTGATATATTCATGATCAGGCTTCAAATTTTTGATCAGATTATCATTATTGTCTTCAAATGCGTCCCATTTCTGACGCAAATTTTCCAAACGCGTCTCAAAATATTGCCTTGAGTATCTTGTGGTAGAATCCTTTTTAAAATTTATCCAGATTCTCTGGATCTCACCTTTAAATAATTTATTAATTAAACGTTTATTTAATTAACGTTTATTTAATTAACGTTTATTTAATTAATTTGCTTTTGTTGTTGGATAGCTTGGTCTATCTCTTCGTTCTCCATGATGTTCTCTATTTGTATTTGATTTGAATTTGTTGAAAGCTTCGGTATGCTTCTGCTCGGTCCACTCCGATGTTTAAAAGCCTCGGTACGCTTGTATTTACTTCACTCCGATGTTAAAAGCCTCGGTACGCTTGTATTTACTTCACTCCGATGTTTAAAAGCCTCGGTACAGTTGTATTTACTTCACTCCGATGTTAAAAGCCTCGGTTCGCTTGTATTTACTTCAATCTGATGTTAAAAGCCTCGGTACGCTTGTATTTACTTCACTCCGATGTTTAAAAGCCTCGGTACACTTGTATTTACTTCACTCCGAATGTTAAAAGCCTCGGTACGCTTGTCTTTACTTCACTCCGATGTTAAAAGCCTCGGTACGCTTGTATATACTTCACTCCGATGTTAAAAGCCTCGGTACGCTTGTACTTGATTCAATCTTAGACTTAAGTCTCTTAGTTTGGTATATTTGAAACTCTTACCACTGGTGGGGGAAATTTCAAATATCCGGCTCGAAGGACCAAAATGAACAATGATGTTTACTTCCAAACTATAAGTTCCTTACCACTGGTGGGGGGAACAATTATAAGAATGTGGAGATATTGTTTGTAATTCAATAACTGACTTTATTTACCAATAAATTGGTCTTTTATACAAATCAAAATGCAATAATAATTGCAAGATATACAATATTTGCTTAAACTAATTTAGTATTTAATTCGCACAGATTGCTTACTAAGCAACCTATGCGTGCGCTTAACTTATGACCTAATTAATATTATTTTGTTGATTCGTCAACCAAAAAATTAAGCAACAGGTGTGATCGATTAACTCATGACCTAGTTGTTAGTTTTTTGTTGATTCATCAACAGTTTTATAAACAAGTAAATAATAGAAATGTATATTTCTATTCTATGGGGCTACTACCGAAATGTTGTCTTATAAACAAGTAAATAACAGAAATGTATATTTCTATACTAGCGAAACGTTGTCTTATAAACAAGTAAATAATAGAAATATATATTTCTATACTAGCGAAACGTTGTCTTATAAACAAGTAAATAATAGAAATATATATTTCTATTTTACGGGGCTACTGCGAAATGTTGATTTATTTAGCCGTGGATTTGGTATGGGTGATTATATTCATGTGTAATTATCACCTTACCGATTAATCTATTAACTAAATGTTGATTTCGTTATGAATGTATATTTCTATTACTACTAACGAAATATTGATTTCGTTACAAATAATTATTGTAATAGAAATATGTATTTCTATTATAAAAAAAAATAATGGTAACCGAAATGTAAATTTCGGTTCTTGATGTTTCAGCACGTATGTTTGGAGCGACTTGTTCTCTAGCTCGATACCTCGCTGAATGTCTTTCTTGCAGTGACGACGCGTGCCCTATCTGGAAGGGTGTGCGGCCCTTCTTTAATGTTGTTTTTACATGTAACACTTAAATTAAAATATGTGAGATGTTTTATTAATAATAACCATATTATAATAGGCAACAATATATTCGCAATATTATATTAACAATCCATTAACAAAATAACATATTAAACAAATTAAATTAATAATTTATATATAAGTTTAATATTATATCAATATGGAAGAAACAAAACTTTTCACATAATTCTCGTAACATCAAACCAAATTTTTTCAAACAAAAGAGTTTGTACTTGGAAACATACATGTTTATGCAGTGATCAAACAAAATCGAACCCACTTGCAACTTACAAATGTGCGGACAAGTACCCCGCACAGTAAGAACGTGGGTGCTACTGTTAAAAATGGAGAGACGAAATGTGATAGAAATGTATTTGATATGAGCTGCAAACTTTAGCCACTCATGCAACCACTTTGGCAAATCATCATGTTGGATTCGTATGCATGCAGTTGATATTCGAATAGAACAGAAAATTACTCTCATACAATTCCCACTATATAAATCTCTATTTCTGATATTACAAACGGGAGCACACGCACATTATTTTGTTCATATGCAACATATGAATGTGCGGCCAACTTCTTTGAACACAAAGGGGAGAGACGAAATATAATAGAAATGTTCTGTGATTAGAGCTGCAAATATATGAGCACAACTAACAAGTATAGCGGCTAACATAAGCAAATTGATTGAGTTTTCATAGACAATTATATTTAATTGTTTTTGCTAAAACTTTAAAAATATATATATGGAAATGTAATAAATAATAATAATTGCTGATGTGAAGATACTTAATAAATTTATATACCTATGTTATTTGACATTTTGCAAATTATGTTAGGGTGTTCACCGCACACCTCCGCACCTTAGAGCAATCGTCACTGCTTTCTTGTGCTTTTGCTTCGCCTTTTATATCCGCGAGGTGCGAAGCGTACAGTAGTTTTGTTCTTGTAACTACAACGGTGTGTTGTTTACAAGTTTTTATTATTGTTCTGGTGTTTTTATTTTGTATTAAATTTGGTGGTGGGTTTTAATACTTGCTTTATCAATTTGGTTAGTGTTTTATTATATTTTGTGTTGCAAATTTTAAGAGCTTTAAATTTTATGTTACAACCCTAATATCCCAAATTATGTAATAGTATTTTGCTATACTATTAATAAAAATTTAATGCTTTTAATTGACACTGGTGCTGATGTGTCTATTATAAAAAATAACTACAATTTAAATTTCGATTCTAGCACAACTTGCTTACTCACTGGTATTACAGATGGTCACAATTCATCTTTAGGTATTTCAAAGTTAAGCCTAAATTTTGATGAATTATTACTAAATCACATATTTTCAGTAGTCGATACAGACTTTCCAATTTCCAACACATTTTATTTAACAGTAACTTCGGACTTACAATCCACGACAATTCCAATAAATATAAAACCACTCACAGTTAAAGCAAGAACTCAAAACATATTACCTATAGACATTCGTTTTAATACAGATACTGTTCTGATCAGTAACGAAATCTACAAAGGAGTGTATATGGCCAACACCATAGTACCGGCAAATGGAATTTGCCACATAAATGTGATAAATACAAATAAATCAGATATCAACATAACTGATTTAAAAATAGAGTCAGAACCTTTGTACAACTATCACTGTATAAATAACAAATTAAAAATTTATACTGAACAAAGATTAACAAAAATTCTTGACAAAATTCAGCTGAAAAAAGATGCATAAACACTAGTTGTATTAATTTCAAAATACCAACACATTTTTCAGCTCGAATCAGAACCATTATCTACAAACAATTTTTATACAGAACACATCTCTACAACTGACAATAATCCGATATACATTAAAAATTACCGGTTACCACACTGTCACAATGACGATATTAAAACACCAGCGCCAAGTTAGCAACCAGAGAATATCTTTTCTAGAATGGAAACTCCGCCCACCTCGATCAAAACTAAGAGAAATTGCTTAAGAAAATTCATTTTTTATAACATTTTTGTCACACGTATTAAATAAGTGTGATTAAACCACATTTATGCCACTTTTACGCTCTTTCATGCTCTTTCAGGGCTGCAGTATAACTGTTTTTCAACTTCTTACTGTACAAGTTTTGATTTAAGCAGATTTATAAATACTCATAAATGAATATAAGCATACATTACATATAATTTGAATATTGTTAAATTAAATGGAATTATTTACAATAACATATAATTATGTAAAAAAATTTTTTAATTGTAATTGAGTATGTCACACAATTATTTATACACTTTTCTTAGCTATTTATATATTTATGATGTGCGGAAAATACTTGAGAAGGGTTTCATATAATATGTTGAAAGCAATTAAAATCTATTTTAGATTAAAATTGAAAAAATATGTTTTGAAATTAAATTCAGTATAATATCATATTAATAATGTTTTCCATTTAAATAGCTTTTTGGAGTTAAAATATTTGTAAATTGGGAATATTATATAATGAAATTTAAAGTTATATGACATTAATATATACCTATAACTTATTTACTATTGCATGTAGCATAAAATTCACACATCTATGCAAATAAATTATATACTGAAAAATAGAAATAATTAATTTTTATAATAGTAATTCAGTGTTAAACATATCAAAAGTGATATTATAATTTATTTTACTTATTTTCAGAAATAAATAACTGA